GGTCCATATCACATCATCAATACGTGCAGTGCTTATGGCAGTCTAAGTATTAATTCTTTCAGACTCATATACAATGCAAGCTGCTTTCAATCTTTACTATGCTGCATCTAAGCAACTCGGCCAGTCTTTCAATGTTTCCAGATTAAAGTTCATATCAATCCAGACTGCGCCAGTCAAATACTTCACCTCCAATATGTGTTGAAGGAGAGGGCTCTGGCATATGATGAACATTTTCCATATCTCAGCAGCCAGTTCTCTCAAAAAGCCACTACTGATGAGGAGATCAACGGTGGATCAGCTGTGCCCGCTCAGTCTTTTATACGAGCAGGGAGCATATGGTGACAAAGATCTCCGCAAGGCAACACAAGTCCTAGTGTACAGGCCAGCTTGTGTCAGCACACTCCTGTACTGCAGGGAGATGTGGCATTGACACTTGAGAATTCTGGAGAAATTCCACCAGCAATGCATTCACCTCATCCTCCAGATTGCAAGTGAGGGCTGTCAAACAAACATTAATGTCCTCCTTGAACACCACTTCATGGGCATTCAGACCAAACTCTGGCAAAATTAATTCTAATGGCCTGCATACTGTGCACTGATGATGAAAAACCAGTTTCATGCTGGCTGCAGTTCTAACCATTCTCAAATGGCCAAGGTTCCAGGGAGGGAAGAACTCTGAGGCTCTCCTTCAAGTGAAATGTCGTTGATGTGAGTTACTGGGAGCTGCTTCCTACCAATCATTCAGAACAGCAATACTCCGTCCATCAAGCTGAGTCATGCTTTTTGGAGTCCAAACCCATTAACGATGAGACAGGACATTAGCACAGAAGGGATTTGAATAGTTGGATGTTAGATGCTTGACACAGACACGATGGGCTGAAGGGCCTCTTTCCATACTGTAAAAACTCTATGATTAGAAAGGGGAAAGAAAATCCTGCAATTGAGACCTCACTGCCTCGTGCTCCCATGCCTGTGGGTTGAGAATTGATCTGTTTGGTCACATGAAGACCTTTCAAACTCGCAACCCGAAATAGGTATCATCGTCAAATCAATGAGAGCTTAAGAAAACACTTCTTTTCTCATCCACTCATGGGATGTGGGCATCTCTGACTGGGCCAACGTTTATTGCCCATCCCTAGTTGCCCTTGAGAAGGTGAGGGTGAGCTGCGTCTTTGAACTGCTGCAGTCCTCCTGCTGTGGGTTGACCCACAATGCCATTAGGGAGGGAATTCCAGAATTTTGACCCAGCAACAGTGAAGGAACGGCGATATATTTCCAAGTCAGGATGGTGAGTGGTTTGAAGGGGAACTTGCAGGGAGTGGTGATCCCATGTACCTGCTGCCCTTGTCCTTCTAGATGGAAGTGGTCATGGGATGGAAGGTGCTGTCTGAGGATCTTTGGTGAATTTCTGCAGTGAATCTTGTAGATAGTACGCACTGCTGTTACTGAGCGTCGGTGGTGGAGGGAGTGGATGTTTGTGGATGTGGTGCCAATCAAGTGGGCTGCTTTGTCCTGGATGGTGTCAGGCTTCTTGAGTGTTGTTGGAACTGCAACCAACAACTTAATGCAATGAAGACCACAAAGCCACTTCACAGAAGTCTAATCAGACAAGCAATGTCAGAGATAGAAACTTTCCACATTGTAACCTGGGCCAAAAATGCAGGTTCCAGAAATAATCAGCCCCTCCAGTCTAGCCCAGTGATCCAGCACCTCCTTCACAACAGTTGGGTCACGTTGGCTTTCTCTCCTCTTGCTCTTCCTGCACATCACTCTCTTGAGAAATAGCAAAGTTTTGTAGACGTTGGAAATCTAAAATAAACATGTTCTGAGAATTCTGGAAACACTCAGCAGGTCAGGCATCGCATTGTTTTCTTCACATACACTGGCCTTGAGGGTTTCTGGCATTCTGTGTATCTCATCGATCAAGTGCGGTCTGAAAATGGAATGATAGAAAGCTCTGCCGACCCTGAGGCCATTCAGGCCTTCAAAATTGTTCCAATGCTGCCTCCCCCTCAACCTGACCAATGTTAAATTTCCGTTCCTTCTCCAAAGTAGCTTAACCTTATTTTTTCCACATACGTTTATCCAATATCCTGCTAAGTATCCCAAATGTGGTGGCTGTAATAGCTGCTTTAGACTATGTATTGTGAATTCTAGTACAGTTTCCACCACTCATGCTGCTTGAGTGGATCACAGACAAATACCTACACTTATCAAATGGCAACATCAAGTGTCCATTACCATTGGTGTTTATTGCAAAGATGCTTCTTAAACTCGTGCTACTTCAAGTGACTTGCAATTTTTTTTTTGCAGTATGCCAAGGAAGAAACCAGACTGCTAATCACTGAAAAAAAGACTCAAAATGTTAACTCTGTTTCTGTCTCTGTAGATGCTGCCAGACCTGCTGAGTTTCTCCAGCAACTTCCGTTTTTGTTTCAGATTTCCACAGTTTTTTGGTTTATTTTAGTCTGCTAATTGCTTCCACTTAACCCATTTAAAAAGTTCTGCAGATGTGAAACAAGTTCAGGTTTTCAAGCTGTTTGCCTCAGCTCCTTGTACTTCATTCAGCTGGGACTAGCTTTAGTGACGATGGTCCCAGCATGGGTATTGATTCAGACGCTAACAATTACAACAGAAAATTGACAACTTCCTACTTTCTCAGAAAACCCTGATGTTCAGATAGGATGCTTGATGTTGGTGTGCAATTGGCCATATTGGACTCTAACTGGCTGATTCACTGTCACAACCCATTACAGATTTATTGGCCATTTCTGGTGAATCCTGTTTGCACAAATAGACAATCCTCCTGGCATAGACATCAACCCTGCCTGACCCTTTTATGCATTTACAGGTGCTGCCAAATTTCTACCCCTTTCTTCCTGACTCAATCCTCAGTGCAATTAGCCTTTCACGATTTACTATTCACTTGCTAACTTAAAATCTTTTCCAAATTTTATCTCTATTGAATTCCAATGTCCCCCAACCCTTTCCAATCTTTACATAAGAACAGGAGTCAAGTTTTTAACTTTATCCATTTGTGCGATGTTGGCATTTATTACCCATCCCGAATTAATCTTGACAAAACGGAGGTGAGCTGCCTTTTCGATCTTCTGCCATCCATATACTATAGGTACCCCAACAGTGCCGTAGGGAAAGGAGTTCCAGGATTCTGACCCAGTGACAGTGAAGTAATGGCAATGTATTTCAAAGATAGGATGGTATGTGACTTGAAAGGGAACTTGCAAATGGTGGTGCTCCCATGCAACACAGCTCTTGGCCTTCTAGCTGGAAGAAGTCATCAATGTGGAAGGTGCTACAGAAGGACCTTTTGTGGGTTGTTGTATTGCATCGTGTGGATGGTATACGCTGCTGCCCCTGTGTGCTGACGGCAGACAAATCAATTGTAGAAGGTGGTGGATGGGGAGTTACAATCCCAATTGATGGTAATAATGGACAAGTTAGATCCCTGAATGAAGCCTGATAGATCATCTACTTAAATAGTGGAGTTCATTGACTTTGGGGGGGTGGTCAGTGAAACATATTCACGTGGGGCTGTGAATGCTCTTTATCAACAGAATACAAACTTATTACATTTACAAAAACAAACAAAGCTGTATATAGAACATAGAACAGTACAGCACAATACAGGCCCTTCAGCCCATGATGTTGTGCCGACCTATTATCGTACTCTAAGATCAAACCACCCTGCATACCCTGCATTTTACTATCATCCATGTGCCTATCCAAGAGTCGTTTAAATGCCCCTAATGTATCTGACTCCACTACCACCGCCGGCAGCGCATTCCACACACCCACCACTCTCTGTGTGAAGAACCTACCTCTGACATCTCCCCTACACCGTCCTCCAATCACCTTAAAATTATGCCCCCTCGTAATAGTCATTTCCGCCCTGGGAAAAAGTCTCTGGCTATCCACTCTATCTATGCCTGTCATGAAGGAGGCTGCACTGATGATGTTATCCAGCAGGGTAATGAAACATCTGTGGAACAACGAACCAGCTCGGCGAACCAACCAACCACAACCGGAGCTACAAATCTACTCAAAAACCTTAGAGATTTTTAAATAATTGCTTCACTGACGCTTCCAAGTTTCTTTTCTTTCTGGCTTTTGAGACCTTTTCTTTATGATTCCTTTCCAAGTGCATGGAGTATGAATTGCATATCATTCTGATGGCCTAAACTTTATCAGTTCTGACAACATGTAGGCTTCCAAGTCGGGATTGATTAGATAGAAGTTCCACACAAAAAAATACTTCAGTTAGGTGCCCGGTTACCCTGAACGGTCTTGATTTCCCTGCTACAAAAACCAGTTCTACCTTCTAACCTAAAATCTTAAACCTTCAACTAGTTGCTTTAATGCTTTGCTTCAGCCTGTCTTAGACCCAACTGTGTGAATGTTTTATCCATTAGCAGTATATGGGCCCTCCCTGGCACTCGACTGCAAACACAAGTTTCTTGAGACTGATGTATTTAGATCACTATTCCAAATTGACTTTCTGCCTTTTATTAATTAAAAAAAAACCAACAAAAGTATTATATTTATCCTTCACTGGCTACAATTTGCCCAATGTCCTCATCAACATTTATCATGCAACCAACACATAGACCAGATGAGCTGTTGTTTCAGACTAATTGTCTCTCTAATTTCTGTTTGCTAGGTTCAGCCTGTTTCTCAACATCATTAGAGACTACAAGACCCTTTGAGATTTCTGTGCAGGTTAGAGTCAACATAGCTTCAATCCCATTTGTATGGAATTTGCTGTGTTCAACAGGTAAACAGAGATTATCTTTCCAAAATGCTTAATTGGCTGCTCGGGATGTCCTGAGGACAGATATTTTTATAAACAGAGCATGTAGTGGAGGTTTTGTGTTAAACATTTCAATATATATAAGTTTCTAATGAGGTCGGAAGCAATAGGGAGCTATTGCTGTTTAATAACTATCTCAGAGTGATTTAAACACCCAGTATGATTTCCCTACCTGGTGTGAAAGGTTTGCCGTGGCTCTGACTTGTCCCGAGGTGTCCTCATGGTTGAATGACCCCCAGAGGAGGTGTGAACGTCTGGTGATGGCGGCCGAACAGCACTGCGACTCCGCGTTGAAACAGCAGGTGGCGTATTTAGTCTCCACTCCACTGGAGGCATGGGACTTTGCGATCTCGACAGAATAAGGGCCGTCTGTGGTTTGTTTGTCTGGTCTGTCCTCGGTGGCAGGCGAGTCTTGATCTCGTGAACAGGGTTGACAGGCCTGTGTGGGCTACTGAACCTGGACACCTGCTTGTGAGCTGTTCAAAATTCAAGGGTCATGTTATTACTCAAAGACTGGAAATCTATCAGCGGCTCTGAAACTCAATACTCAATTGATAGGTGGAGCGTTGGGAATTCTCTTGGTACAAGATCAAAACTTCACATAAGATTGCATTGGCAGTCTATCTAAGGTCTTGTACACAGTCAACACCATCACCTTCCAGTTGTATCCAGTGCATTCAATATCTGACCATGTCTCCCGAATGTTATCTACATGTACTATTGCCTCTCTGCTCCTCTCCTGCATTTAAAATCTTATTACTTAAAGTGCAGGTATAGGGGCTATAAGGAGAGGCTATAAGAAACTTGGGTTGTTTTCTCTGGAGTAGCGGAGACTGAGGGGAGACTTGATAAAAGTCTATAAAATTATGAGATGCATAGATAGGGTTGACAATCTGAATCTTTTTCCCAAAGTTGAAATGTCTAATACTAGGGGGCATACATTTAAGGTTAGAGGGGAAAAGTTCAAAGGAGATGTGAGGGGCAAGATTTTTATACAGAGAGTGGTGGGAGTCTGGAACACTCTGCCAGAGGTAGTGGTGGAGGCAGATACAATAGGGGCATTTAAAGGGCTTTTAGATAAGCACATAAATATGCAAGGAATGGAGGGATATGGACCAAGGGCAGGCAGAAGGGATTTGTTAAATTTGGCATCATGTCACAACATTGTGAGTCGAAGGGCCCATTCCTGTGCTGGTACTGTTCTATGTTCTAATTTTTTCCCCATCCATACTCCTCACCTTTTCCTATTTCCACATTTCTCTGCCTTGCACTATGTAGTCACTGGACTCTGTAAAAACCCTGTCTTTTTGTTTCAACAGTACTTCTAATTGTGGGCTGAAATGAGAAAAGAACCATTTTAAAACCAAAGATTGCTGCTTGTCTTAAAAGCAAGTAAACCTGATATTCATTGTTTATACAGCTGTTTGTTCAAGCAATGGTTAAAGTGTGGTTGCAGATGAACTGGACTTGAGGGGTAATGTGCAGATGGATCTTTGGCTGGTCTATGGACTAGTGACCAATTATTGACGACAAAGGCCTTCTGCCTGCCAACAACTTCGTGGTGATTGGTTCTGAAGGTAGCTACGCAGTTTGGGTCTGAAAACAAACTACAGAGAAGAAATCAGATCTGTACCAGCTCACGAGATCTCTCAGTTCTCTGCAGCAAAGCTTACTTTAATCCTGAAGAAAACCAGTTTTATCTTTCCTTCAGCACTTGCGGTGAGCTGTGACTTTAAATTGGTACTTTTACAAGTGAACCAGCCACCCTGTGCCTCTTGCAAACCAGTGGAAGCATCCAGAGAAGGATAATTCAGAAGCAGTGGTCTAACTGGCACAAGAATCATAAGAATTATTGCAGCAATCCTGCGAACAGGAACCACTGAACTACTTTCCCAAGTTTTCCCTCTGTCCATAACAAATCTTTTCTTGTGTGTGTGTGTGTTTGTGTCACAATTGTCTACCTGTAGCCATAGTTTATCGGTTTGAAATAAATAGTAATTCATGTTAAGTACAGAAACTGGTCTGTGGTTTTCATTAACCTGGTCTAAGAGAACAGTAAGTTGGGCAATTTTGCATACTTTTCAAAAAATCTTTAACTTTTGTAATGTATCCGGGAATAGTGGGGCTTGATTTTCACCTCACCATCCCAGTGAGGAATAAAATCTGGTAGTTATGGAGGACTTGCCTCATGCTCTTGGGGTAATGACTCAATCCCTACCACTGTAACTAATAATTCTGGTATTGAAAGCCAGTCTTGATAATTGCTAGTGTGGAACTTCTTTCATCTGTTAGAAAAGCTCCTCTGGTTCACTAATGTGCTTTAAGGGAGCACATCTGCCCTCCACACTTGGTCTGGCCTACAAAGTGACTCCAAGAATGTGACTGACTCTTAGCTGCCCTCTGCCATGGACCAGCACGCCGCTTAGTTTAAGGGCAATTAAGGATGGGTAACAAATGCTATTCAGGGCAGCAATGCCCACATTCCATGAAAGAAGAGAGCGCAGGTGAGGCCCAGATGTCCTGGCACTGGACAGGGTGCACAGGAGGTTCATTAGGTTAATTCCTGAGTTGAGAGGGTTGGCTTATGAGGAGAGATTGAATAGATTGGGACTATACTCATTGGAATTTAGAAGAATGGGGGAGGGGGGGAGGATCTTATAGAAACATACAAAAGATAGAACCAGGGAAGTTGTTTCCTCTGGCGAGTGAAACTAGAACTCGGGGGCATAGCCTCAAAATTTGGGGGAACAGATTTAAGAGTGAGTTGAGGAGGAACATCTTCACCCAAAGGATTGTGAATCTGTGGAATCCCCTGCCCAGTGAAGCAGTTGAGGCTTCCTCATTGGATGTTTTTAAAGCAAAGATGGATAGATTTTTGAACAGTAAAGGAGCTAAGGGTCATGGTGAGCGGGTGGGTAAGTGGAGCTGAGTCCACGAAAAGATCAGCCACGATCTTTTTGAAGGGCAGAGCAGCTTCAAGGGGCCAGATGGCACACTCCTGCTCCTACTTCTTATGTTCCAATGTTCTAATGAAGAGATAAACCTTTGCAAGCTGGTTCTTTACCCGTGTTGTTATATCATGTCCTCCTACACTCTTTCAGTCTTGTTCACAATTTGTCAAACCCATAATTTAGTTATCAGCAAATTTGAATCTCATTCTCTCAACTGCTAGCTTTGGGTTACAGACGTGTGTGTACATTCATGTATATTTATAGATACATACAAAATAGATAATAGCAGCTTAATACAGACTGCTGTAGAACTCAAATTACAGCATCTGAGAAACTTCCCTCCCAGATCCTTTGATGTCTGCTTTTTAATACCCATCTCACAATCGCTGTGACTCATCTTCGTTTATCCCTTGTTCCTTTATCATTGTCATACATCTCTTATGTAGTAATATAACAAGTGTGCTTCTTGTCAATTCAAATGAACCGTATCCAATGAATTCATCTTATTTGTTATTCTAAAAATTTTAAAGTATTAGTGAAGCATGGTCAGAAATCCACACTGACCAGTGAAGAAAATTCCATTCTGCCAGGCAGACAGGAGTAGGGGATAGCGGTCAAGGAATACACACATACACCACACACACAGACACACACACACAAATCTCACACACCCCCCCCACCCACAAATCACACACACAAATAAATCACAAACACACACACA